CTACGAGGCCGTCTCCTTCATGGACGTTAACAGCACCTGGAGGACCGTGGACCGCCTCTCGGCCACTGCCTGCGGCTGTCTGGGCTGAAGGCTCCCTTCGGGGATTTGCAGACCGTACCCCTGCCAATGGATCTGCCTGCTTGGGGCGGCCAGGGCCTCAGCTGGTGATCGAGGCCTTGGCTGGGTGAGTGATGGACATCCGCCCTGCAGAGAGGGAGGCCCGACTGACCAGAGGCCCCAGGGCTCTCACCCTGCCAGTCTCAGACCCAAAGACCCGTGGAGACCCGAGGACCCACTTCTTACAGACTGGCACTGACCAGGCCATGGACCCAGGACTCCTCTGGAGAATCAGCAGTGTCAGGTCTCAGCCACAGCCCAGGCCTGCGGGGACAGATTTGGAGGAGACACGTTGGAATTGCATTGCTGGAATGCCTGTGCTGGACTGGGCCTTTACTCACTTGTGGGAGCTGGAGCCCTATTTATTATTTCTAAGTTATTTATTTACTTCTGTGGTTTGTCAGATCCTTTACTGAGCTGTGGCAGCTGCATGGGGGATAGGTAGAAGCAGCTGGATGGAGATCACGCCCTGAGCATCCCACTCACAACTTCAGGCTCACTCAGCAGTCATAGGCCTAGCCTGGGACTGCCTGCCCCCAGCCAGCAGCTCTGGGACATAAAAGGAATGAAATCCAGACAGAGTGGGTGGCAAAGTTCCAACAGTCCACTCACAAACCCCTGTACAAGTCCCCAGCAGTTGGATCCTGGGGTTGCAGATGGAGAAAGCCCTACCCTTGAGACCTCGGGCATCTTGGGAGCATTGTTTAATGGTAAAGATGCAGAGAATGACACGTTGCCCCACCCCGCTGTCATTGTCCTGTAATGTCATTGTCCTAGTAGGACATCAGTGTCCTACTCTCCAGGGCACCCTGACAGGTGTGGATACTGCCTGTGCTTCCAGATGGCCCACCTTGGGGAGCTCATTGCCCACACTCTGAAGCACCCCAGATCAAGAGAGATCTGAAAAGGCCAAGGGTGGGGAAGAGATGCAGTGGTGGAAGGCTGGTTTAGGGGGATGAGGCCCAGAACATCATGGGAATAAGAAAGCATGAAAAGACTGAGTATGCCTCGAGGGACCTGCATCTTGGGTAATGAACAAGGGTATTTATTTATTCATTCAACAGATATTTATTAAGTACCTATTTTATGTCAGATGCTGGGTAGACCCCAGGAATACAGAAGTGAAAAGGACACAGTCTCTGCCTTTAAGCTTAAATAAGCAGAGACAGACAATAAGTAAATAATTACATAAATAATTATTTAAATTCAGTTTGGCAAATAGTATGAAAAAGGACAAAATGCTAAGAGGTACATACCGTCATCTGGAAGGAAGAGGCTAAAGCTGGCCCTGGCCCTCCACACTGTCCCCAGGTCATCTCTAAAAAGTCAGTGCAGTCCCTCTGAGCTTCTATGTATGTCCCTTGAAACCTTGTTTCCTGGGTCCTATGAATTTGTCCTACACGATTTTTTTCTTTAAAAATAAGATCAGGATGTGTTTGGAAAGCATGCTGGGTCTAGGGAACTGTGGGACATCTGGAGGGGTGGTCAGGAGGCAGTGGGATATGCCGGTCTGGGGCTGAAGAGGGAGGTCTGGGCTGGAGGTTGATTTGGCAGCTGTGAGCACAGAGGCGTTAGCTGCAGCCAGGGGTGCCGGAGACACCAGGAGAGTGAGGCAGGCTGAAGCTGGGATCCCACAGGCATTTGACACAATTAACCAATATTCCTTCCAAACTGCCTAAGTGCCTGCCGGCTTTGGCACAGCTGCCCCCTTCGCCCAGGCTGGAATGGGGAGCTGGCAGGAGCTCTCAGGGCTGTGTGCATTCAGGGTCAGGGAGGAGAAATAAGTCTGTGCTTCCACCCTTCTGTGTTCACTGCCCCATTTTCTAGATGTCCTCAAAACTTTGGTGCTCTCATGCTGCCCTCAAACACCCCCTTGATCTCTCTCTCTGCCTCCAAACTGATTGAGGGTCTTCAGTCACCAACCCCCACCTCCCACCAAAGAAAATGGCAGCAGTGCCATCCAGTTTGGAGGCACCTCATGAAGGCTGGGCCCTGGCCCTGGTTGGGAGTGAAGGCGGGCAGCCTGTCAATTCCAGGGTCACTGGGGCCAGGGAGCCCCTGCTGGAAAGACTTGAAAGCCTTAAGAGGAGGGTATAGCTCAGTGGTAGGGTGCATGCTTAGCATGCACAGGATCCTGGGTTCAATCCCTGGTACCTCCATTAAAATAAATAAATAAAACCTAACTATCCCCTTTAAAAAATTTAAAAATAAAAATGCTCTCTCTAGATTTATAAAAAGCCTGGCCTCATCCCCAAACCCTCTAGGACCTGCCCCTCAGTGGACATCTCTGCTCTCAGAGACACTTACAGGAGCTGAGATGAAGCCATCTCTGACAATGCTTGGAGAGAGAGCCAGGTGAGAACCTCAGACTAAGGTACTGGCTCTCAGCTCTCCCCAAACTGTCAGTCCTGGAGGGAATAGGGTCCCCCCCAACTCAAGGCTGCATTCTGGGCCCCAAAGAGATTGTGCCCAACATCTTACAAAGTCACGGATGAGATACAACCTCTCCAAAAGAAACATTCCCACAGAACTAGTCTCATTTTGCAGCTCACAACAAACCAAATCCCTCTTTAAAAAAAGTAATAAATAAAGCTATTTTCCAAAAGGAAACAAGTTGCCAGGCTGCACTTCTCTGCGTACAACTTAGCAGAAGTCACCTGGCACATGACCTCACCTGGAGAGCACTTGTGCTCCTGGGGGCCACAGGTGACCCTAATATCTCCACTTTTGACTATAATCTGTTTCATATTTGCAAAACAACACTGCCCATTTGAACGATCTTCCCGGAACTAAGGTGTGGTCTCCTCCAAAGGGGCATTAAGTCTTGCAAGACAAAACTGCAGTCGGCTTTGAAATGGCAGCTTTTTCACCTTCAGGGGCACCCAAACGTCCCTCTAGATTAGTTTCATCCAGGAGTCAAAGTTTGGGGATCCACGTGCTTCCCCTGCCCTGGCCAATGGTGTTCCTCCTCTTTGGGTCAGGGACTGCCATACTTCCCCCAGCTAGAGTTCCCTGAGACTGAGTGCATGTGGACTGGCTGCCTAACTGAGGTCTTATAAAGGAGAGGTAGGGTAGAAAGCAGAGATCGAAGATCTGGGAGAATTTGTGCCATGTGAGTTCACTTTTCTTGTTCACATCGGTGGCTGTTAAGCTGTTTTGGAACTCTAGAATCCTTAGAGAAACTGATGAATACCAAGGATCCAACCCCCCAGCCCCCACCTCAGTGCTGAAAAAGTCACTGATGTGTATATCTGGTGGCCAATTTTAGGGAGCCCTCAGACTTTCTGAAGCTCATTGAACGAGTATGGCCAATTTTAGGGAGCCCTCAGACTTTCTGAAGCTCATTGAACGAGTATGTAGGAGTCCGTGGCCCTCGAGGTATCATGCCCTGCTCCAGGTGATTCTGTCATCAGTGTCCTCCTGGAGCTGGACTGTTTCTTCCTTCTGTGCTCAGGCTCCCATATCAGGGCTCTCTGTCTCCATTATTTACAAGCCTCCCCGTTCTTCAACCTTTTTCTATTGAATAACCCCTTTCCCTCTGCATTTAAACTTGCTTGAATATATCACAGCATAAAAAAAGACATTGTGATCACAAATATATAAATATATGATCTGCTTCCACCTCACTTCCTTCATTAAAAGAGCTCTTGCTGTGGTCCCCAGGGGCCTCATCATCACTAAACCCAAAGACTGGTTCTCAGCCTTTAGTCCTTTGAACTCTTGGAAGCACTCAACTTTGTCATCCCTCTAGGAACACCTGTCTTCTCTGGACTCTCTCCATCCCATGCTTGCTTGGATTTTCTCCCAACCCTTGCTGCTTATTCTCAGACTCTTTTTGGGTTCCTTTTCCTCTTTCTCTGCCTCTTGCAGTGTTCCTTAGGGCTCCGATATAGGCCTTCTCTCCCCATTCTATGCTCCCTGAGCAGTAGTTTCAACTCCCACGGTTTCAGTTACCACCTCCAGGCTGACGATGCTCACACTGTATCTCCAGCCTAACTTTTCTTCTAAGCTCCAAGCCTGTACGTCTATCTGTGTATCCTCAGACGCCTCAAACTTAATATATCTGTCCTGCATATGTTCTGTTTGTTCCTTTAGAGCCTCTCTCCATCCCTCCCTACCCTTCTCTGAGCCTCACATCAATGAGCATCCCTGCTCTCCAGCCTCCAAGCCCCTTCCAATGTCTCCTCCTGAGGGAACAGCACCAACTTCCATCCAGTGACACTTGGGCAACATCCTAGACTCCTTGAGCTTTGTCACTTCTTTTCCATTGGTCCTCAGATCCTTAGATCTTGCAAGTCCACCCGCTTCTTTCTATTTCCAATGCTATAGAAGTCTTTATAATTTGTAGAGTGGTTTATTGCTCATCCTCCTAATTGGTCTCTGTCTCCAGTCTCAATTCCCTCCAGTCACTCTCAATCCTGTGACCTTTTAACATTAATTGAGCACTAACAGTTATGCCTTGGGCAAATTATGGGGATTCTGAGGTCAGCTAGAAACATGTTCCGCCATCAAAGAGACCATAGATGGAGATGGAGGTGGGGAAGGGCTGCCAAGTTTAGCAAATAAAAATACAGGCCGTCCAGTTAAACTTGAATCTCAGATGGGCAATAAATACTTTTCTTAGTAAATACATCTCATGCAATAATTGAGACACACAAAAAAATTGTTGTTGTTTACCCATTATTCAAATTTAACTGGGTGTACTGTATTTTTTCTGGCAACCCTAGGTGGGGGTAAAGAAGTAAATAAAAAATTCAGTCAACCGTTGTAAGTCCTCCAGTAGAAGTATGAACTGAGGCACAGTTACATACCTCAGGGTGAGGGAGAATTCTGCACTCACAAAGGGAGAAGGATCAATTCTACCTGGTTGGAAGGTAAGACAAGGCAGGAAAGTCTTCGTGAAGGAGGTGACACTTGAGCCTTGAAAAATGAAATATTTGCAGGAGGTGGACAAGGGGCATCGGGCCTGTGCTGGTTATCCTTTGTTGCCTTCATTGCCTCTCAGCTCTAGATTCCCCCTTTTCACCAGCCATGCCCTGTCCCACAAGGTCTGGGTCTCAGGCTTGGGCAGGAGTCGGGGGTGAGGGCCTCTTCCTTGGGCTCTCTAGCTCAGCCCTAGGACTCTGCTATTCCCATCTTCTTTAGAGTTCTCTTCGCTTCTCACTTGCCAACCCCTCATTATTTCAATCCCTTACTGCAATTTAAAATTTTTATATTAAATTGTCGCTGTGTGCTTACTGCATGGTTTCTCCTGATTGGCTCCAGCCTGATGCAGAGCCTTCTCAGCAGAGGCAGTAGCATTTGAACCAAGGCAGGGAAATGTGGAACAGCCCGGGTAGCTAGCGATTTTGTGTAGAATGGGGGAGGGCTCTCATCAGGACAGAAGTCTAGAGAGATCATAAAGGTCTTTGAATGCTACACCAGGGAACTTGGACTTGGTCCTGAGGGAGCCATTGAAGGGTTTTAAGGGGGATTGTCTAGAGATGCGCTTCAGGAGGGTGGCAATCCAGGATAGCTTAGAGCCCACTGGGGGATGAGTCTTTGAGAGCTAGTCACAGATGGGTTATTTTCTCATCTGAGGGACAAGAGTGGGACATAGAGGGGCCAAAACCTGTGACAACCCTGGGAGAGTTCCAAAATTCAGGAGAGAGCATTCCAAAGCCCAGGAGAAGAGGAAAAGGAACTTCTTTTGTCTGCCTGGACCTACTAGCGATCTCCTTTGATCTGGCACCCAGAAATGCTCCCAACCTGCCTGGGGCTCACCTACTTCAATCCATCTGTCCTACGTGGTGTTTATGAAGCATGTTCAGGAGCCATTGTTGGTGAGACTTGGCTTCTTTCTCTGTCATGGGAAGCCCCAGACCCCAGGAAGTAGCCCTGGATTGGAAGCAGGAAGAAAACTCACATTGACCAAGTTGTGGCCTCTGGGTTGAACCCTAAGTCATATACTATTTCAGTGTGTCCATCACTGGAGGGCTTACTGTTCTCATTTTTTTTTTTAAGTGACATTCAGAAGAAATCAAGTTCTTATGGTTAGAAAGAGGTAGGACAGGTTTTGAACACGGTCTTAACCTTCCCTTCCCCCCAATACCTTCCAAGATGAAATCTCAGGGCCAAGGCATTTCACACAGCTATGCACAGACCTGGAATCAATTACTTGATTTTGGCTTCCTGTTTCACTCTTCCAAATTTTCCTTGCCTCTACTCTTTCTTCCTTCAATTTATCCTATATACTACAGATAGATTTTTCTAAAATGCAAATCCAATCATCACTGTCCACTTTGAAACCCCATCATGGTTTCATATTTCTTGGAGGATAAAGTCCAAACTCCTTCAAGAGTCTACTGTTCCCAACTTGTCTTTCCAACCTCACCTCTGTTACTCATCCCCTCCCCCTTCCTCACCCACTGACAATTGCTTCAAGTGAGGACAAATTATTAGCTGAACTTCAAACACTTTCTTGATAAAGATTGGTAGAATGACTAGATTCCCACTGGACTCCACTTACCAGCTAATCAAGCCCCCCCCCCCCCCCCCGTCTCTCCTTGTTCCTCCAGCTCAGGTCAAGTTTCTCCTCAGGGAAGCCTTCATCCACATTCGCAGGCCTCAGTCGCCTATTGCCAACGCCAGTTTCCTCCACTCTACACAAGTACAGAGGTCTTTTCCCTTTTGATTATATTTTTTCCCCTGCTGGGATGGCTGGCAAGAGATAATAAAAGGCCAGGTGGAGGGGTAAGTGGTAGGGACTGCTGGGGTCTGCGGCCAACCAGACTTGTGGCTGGTCTCTGCTACCCTCGCTGTGGGTCCAGGGACAAGATAAGCTCAACTTTCCTCAACTTCGGTTTCCTCATCTGAAAATGGTGAATGAGAATACCCACCACAGGGTTGTTGAGAGAATTGGACCTAAGGTATGCAAGTACAGTTCCTAGCACTTAAATGTGAGCTCTTCTCATTTTAATTACTCATAAAGAGAAGTTGCTTCCAAGAACCTGATGAAATTCTCCGAGCACTGTCCATGGTATGTGGTTTCCCGGTTGCTCACTGGGTGTCCCCGAGAGCCGTCCTTTTTATTCCTGAGGCGCGCCTTTCTTCTCAGGGTGGTGAGGACGCCTTCCTCCCAGACGGCTCCTATCCTGGGCCCCAGGTCGTGCATAAGCGTGACCTGTGTCCCCCCGACCCCGCTCCCCAACACACACTTAATCCTCCAGCCCAGGTTTCCAAC